GGGGGGGGGGGGGGGGGGGAGAGAGATTGTTCTTCAACGCTGAAATGTAGGTCGAGTACGATATCTTCTTGTTGCATTTCTTATTTTGTACAGAAATTCTTGTGTTATTTTGAAAAAGAAAAGAAAGAATAGCTTACGTATGGAAATCTCAAGGACCAGTTAGTTATAAGGTGGTCAGCATGTCACAGTATTTGAGCCTCGTTATATTGTCCTGTAACGCCTTCTGATTGATGAGACAAATCGATCAAGCTTCTATGTTTGGTTTTAGTTTTCTTCCTTGTATGGCTTAGTAGTGGTACATTTCTTAAAGAATTTGGTAACTGAGCCAAAGAAGTTAACAAATTATAAGATAGAAGCTACAGATTTTGAAGTTTGAAGTGTATCTAATTAGTCGAATGATGAATTAAGGGCAGACATACTAATTGCAATTATAACTTTGTCCAACATGGAATATATTTTCGAAGGGTTAAAAGTCTATCTACATTTAGCTTTCGAGTTTCGCATTTTTATAATTGTATAGGAAGATAGATATAGATATGGATGAGTAGTTAATTATGCCTTATTTTGTGACATTTACCACAATAACTGTTTTTGGTTCTAAGAAGCTTAAAGGATTTCACATGAATGCAGAACTAGACTCGCTGGAATTCTTTTTTTATTTTCAGTTTTGATAGGGGAAATTTCCTAACTGTAAAAATAAAATTAAGCAACAATCTCGTGGCCTCTACCAGCTTAAAAGGTGGATAACCAAGACCCATACTATTTTGTAGGTCCATTTAGCATTTCTTGAGTTGAAGAGGTATTCATCTGAACCTAATATTTTTTTACGCGGAACATAAATTTGTGTAAATATTTAATAAAATTATAACAAATATTAGATATGAATGTATAACTTTAAAAATATATTGGGTTCAATATTAAATCTTAAAAGTTAGAATTTAAATCATGAATCCGCCTCTACCTCTATGTGCAAATAAATTGGAACAACCGTATCATAATTTCATAATATCACGAATTTGTAAGTCCTACAGAGGTCTCGTGAACCAACAAGGACCCAACTGTCTCCTCTTGGTAATTCTTATTCTTTACCAACTGAAACAAAGAAGAAGCAAACTCATTAAATTAAAAATGACAAGAAAAAAGATAAAGCGAAGCAAGTTGGCATAATTCCAATGTGTATTCTTGTCTTTGTTTGGTGATAGCAAGGTGAAACTACTTTTGCAATTTTGCAGTTCACAGGCCTTGCATGAGCATATAAAGAGGAATTGGGCAACATCCATTACCAATTTATGTTTTAACTGTCCATATTCTACTGTATAAATCTCCCATACCAATAACATCCCTAGTATAAATAAAATCTTATTAGCTAGGAAGCCAAGCAATGACTCATGAGAGTTGAAGTCTTCATTTTTTTTGTTTGAAGTCTTCAACTTTGTACAATCTAAAAGATGATGAACAAGAGAATATCTTGGTTTTGGATTATAAACCTCTTCCTTGGTTTCTCATTCTATAACCTTTCAGTTTCACAGGCTAGGCCTATTTCCAGCCATCAACCAACTGCTGTTGTTATAGGGACTGTTCTCTGTGATGCTTGCTACCAGCAAGATTTTTCTAAGGCTAGTCACTTCATTTCAGGTTCATCATCCTTGTCACCTTTTTTATGATAGTATATTATCGGATTTAACTTATATACACCAACACTGTAAAGAATACCTATCGTAGTAGGTAATTTGCTAGGTTACTGATCCTACTTTTTGTAGACGGTTACATGTATCTAGTTATTTTTTTACGTGATCTAATAGAGTAAATTATTTTACACTGTTAGTATATATTTTCTTTCTTGGGAGACTTCTAAACTTTTAATGCATTGTTTATGCTTTTAGGAGCTATTGTTGCAGTAGAATGTGCAAATTCAGGTAAAAGGTCAAGTTTTTACCAGGAAGTGAAGACCAATAAGCATGGAAAATTCAGTGTACACCTTCCTTTCTTGGTGGACAAATATGTCAAGCAAATTAAAGGATGTTCGGTTAAGCTGATCAACAGCAGCAAGCCACATTGTGCTGTGGCATCACCAGCAACTTCATCTTCTTTCCAACTCCACTCGAGGAAAAAACGGATACATATTTTCTCTGCTGGATTCTTCACTTTCAAACCTGTCAACCAACCAAAGCTCTGCAACCAAAAGCCAAGTAGCCATGGTATCTACAATAAAGAAGTATATGTGCAGAAGTCTTTAACTTCAACTCCTAACGATCCCACATTTTCTCAACCAATTCAAGGTAAACCATCAAGTTTTACTACCATAAAACAAGGATTGCTTCCACCTCTTCCAAGATTGCCTCCTTTGCCGGAGCTCCCTCCTCTACCACCTCTTCCATTATTTCCACCAATTTTTCGTTCACCTCCAACGTCTCCGCCTTCAATATTTCCTCCATTTATCCCACCACCTATACCAGGTTTAACTCCTCTTTCACCTCCAATGTCTCCACCTTCAATATTTCCTCCATTTATCCCACCACCTATACCAGGTTTAACTCCTCTTTCACCTCCAATGTCTCCACCTTCAATATTTCCTCCAATTATCCCAACACCTATACCAGGTTTAACTCCATTACCGCCACCACCTCCGCCACCAACCTTCCCATTCCATCTACCTCCGTTCCCATTCCGTCCAATATCTGGCTTCCCTGGAGTTCCTCCTGCTACCACTTCATCTCCAGAGAAAAATAACTCTCCTTAGTCCAAAACACAAATATAAAAACACCTGCAAATAACTAGTAGTTTACATCAAACACTATGTATAACTCTCAATCATTCCCTTGGGTTCAAGGCTGAATAAAGAAAGAAAGAAGATATATTGAAGACTTGGTGATAAAGCAATAAAAAACATTAAGCTAGCATTCTAAAAGACCCTTTTCTTGTTACTTCCTCTTCATGTTTGTAGGTTTGTTGTTTACAAAGCATATAAGATGGGACATGGGGGGTCAAAATGATTGTCTAATATCTAATAGTTCTTCAATAAAATCTAACTATTAACAGGTGACTGCAGTAACTAACCACTCTGCTAATCTACTCAATTTAAGAATTAAAGATATCTGTATTCTGTAAGAATGTGAAGAATTATGCCTACTCTCTTCCCCCAAAGCCCAACAGCTCCTCTGTTTCTAATTCCTTGGCCAATGCCCAGAGAGTTAGGGCAGCCCGGTGCACAAAGCATCTCGCATTCACGCATGTTTCGGGAAGGGCTGCATCTAAAGGAGGTGTGATGTAGCCATCCTACCCTAATGTAAGCATCAGTGGCTGATTCCACGGCTCGAACCCGTGACTTGGTCACACGGAGACAACTTGACCGTTGCTCCAAGGTTCCCTTCCGGTAAATACCTCAGTTGAGGTGTCTAAATGAAAAATGGTTACAATTTTAAGGGGCCGTGCATGTATTCAGCCTAATTCCTTTGTTGCACTTGGACTAGACAAGATGGAGGACTTAGCTGCTTATCTGTAATATAAAGTACTATATATGGTTACTCACTAAAATAGTCATTGGAAAATAGAACTAACTAGACTTCTAAAAAATGGCCTAAGTTTTCTACTTAGGTTTAGCACTACATACTAAACAAAGTCTAATTTTCTTTTAAAGGTGGTGTTTGGGTCAGCTTACGCGCATGTTGATTATTTCACTAGGTATCAACACATGTACCGGATAATTCTGTTTACCACCGCTTAGTAGATGAAAAGAAATCACTTAGTATTTTCTGTCTCCGCTGGAATTTGAATCTGAAGTTTTCGTCCTACTTCATTGACGACTAGGCCACACGCTTGGGAAACAGCACAATCCAGTATTAATCATAGGTATAAACATATGACTTTTCAATGACACTGATGAGTTAATATTTCCAGCCATTTATGTCCAAGATACCTCACACTCTAAACTTTTTCGCTCCTTCATTTTTCAATTCACAATTACATAGAACAAAGCAGGAGTATTGCAGAAACTGCATTTAAAAGCTGAAGAGTAAAAAGAAAGCCTCATAGCTTTTCATATAACAAAGCAGGAGTATATTCACTAGCTTATATTCACTAGCTTCTGCTCAAATTCGAGTACCTAATAATACCCACTAAAACCAGCATAATTAATCACATAAATAAACTCCAAAGTCCACAAAAATCGATACCCCCCCAACTCCACAGCCAGCAAAAAAATAAAGGTTCTTTAAACCAATAGATGACATAAAATATTTTTTGTAAAGCATATTCCATAAGTAATTATTCGACAACTCAAATTTTATTAAAAAATAATAGTAATAATTTGCTGCAGGTTGAGAACTAGTGTAAAAATAGTCTATGTTGAGACTATCAACCTCGACTAATTTCTAAAGGTGGCTATAAAAATAGAGTTTGCATTAGAGATAATAAGCATCGATGGAATAAATGATAAATAACATGTCATAAGAGGTTAAATATAGTGTAAAAATTTATTATAAGTAACACCAACTAACTTTTAAACGTGAATATAAAAATAATTTTAATTGTAATATATACTTTTTATAGTTGTCCCTGGCAGTAACATGGTAACGGCGCATGACATGAGGTTGTCGGGCACCTCCCTCTGTTTTCGAAAACCCAAAATTTTGATTTCAAGCTTAAGCAAGCATCAATAATCAATAGTTGTCCATGACGTTTCAGTTTAGTCCTTCGACCCAATTCAACAAACTAATATTTAATAGTGATTTCTAAATTGAGTTAAGGTGCTCGATTCTCTGAATTTCAACTTAAAAGAATTAGAATATTACAATATTGCTGAAGTCACAAAAAGTTTGAACTATCTTTGTGTTTAAGCAAAATAGATGTGTTACAAAATGACATTTGGGCTATTTTCGATAGAGATTTTATTTTGGGCTAGTTTTGGTTGAAATTGTTTATGGACTAACAATTTGGATAATTTTCCCTAGTTAATTAATAGGAGAACTCTTATATTCCCTTAATCATTCTTTGATACTCCAGATTGGAGTTAATTTTATTCATGGTCATTGAACTTTTGTGTTTGTTACCCAAAAGTCATTTTTCTTTTTTTTGTTACGTAAAAATCATTTAACTGTGTTTATTTCTCAAAGTCACTATTCTTTTTTTTTTTGTTACACAAAAATCATTTTACTTTGCTCTAGTTATCACAAAAGTCACATTTGCCAGATTTTATAATATTTTTACTTGAAAAGTCTATTATGCCTTTGATATTATATAAATCTTCATATTTATATAATACCTTCTATATTATATACTATATAATATATTTTTACCTAGGTATTTTATTTATAACTAAAATAACTTAATATTATTTTTATAATATATTCGTACATTTAATTTTTCCTTAACTAATTTTATTTTTAATTTTTACCTGTATTTTATAAAATCTTGTCAAAGTGATTATCTTGTCAAAGTGATTATCGTGTCAAAGTAAAATCTTTCTTTATTTTGTTACACAAAAATTATTTTACTATGGTATAGTTATCACGATAATCACTTTGACAAGATTTTATAAAACTTTCACCTGAAAAGTCTATTATGCCCTTTACATTATAAATTCTCCAATTTATGTAATACATTCTAGATTATATATTTTATAATATATTTTTACCAAGAAATTTTACTTATAATTAAATTAATTTTATATTATTTTTATAATATATTAGTACGTTTAATTTTCCCATGATACTGAATTTGTTTAATCATATTCAAGCATGAACATATTTTCAAAAATGAAAACAACAAAAAAATATTTATTTGAAATAACAAAAACAGATTTGTTTAACAAATTATAGTTTTTTATAGTCAGTAAAACTTTTAATTTTTTAAAAAGATATTTGAGTTTAATATTAAATTTTAAGCTTTATCTGTTGATATTATTTATTTGAAACTGTTAATCTGATGTGTGAGTTTACTAAATGTTGGTATTTTATTTATTGGATTAATGAATATAGCTTGATTGATAAATCTGTGAGCTTTAATTTTGTATTTCTTATTAAAAATATTTCATTAGGAGTGGTTAAGAACGTTAATGTGAGATTTGTTCACAGTAAAGTTACCGACAAATTTAATAACGCTACCAATATATCTTGAAAATTAACGTTAAGGAAAAATTAAATATACGAATATATTATAAAAATAATAAATAAAATAATATTAAGTTATTTTAGTTATAAATAAAATACCTAGGTAAAAATATATTATATAGTATATAATAAAGAAAAGTGACTTTTAAATAATGAACACAAAGTTAAATGATTTTTACGTAACAAAAAAAATAACTTTTGGATAACAAACATAAAAGTTCAATGACCATCGACCTCGATCGCTAAGATTGAATATTAATAGGGATTAGGGAAACATTTTTTCAGCGCAGTACGAAATGTCATTGTTTGTGACTAGTTTAGTCATTGCCACCAGCCTTAGTGTTTCATTATTTGCCTCTTCTATTAGCAACACAATGAACATAAACACGAATAAGAAGTCTCGATTCGAGCAGCAACAACAACAACAACTCAGTATAATCTCATTAGTGGGATCTGGAGAGGGTAGTGTGTACGCACATCTTACCCATATCCTGGGGTAGAGAGGTGGTTTCCGATAGACCATCGGTTCCCTCCCTCCAAAAACTCCCCACCTTAATCTTGGAGTGACTCAAACTCACAACCTCTTGGTTGGAAGAGGGTGCTACTACTAGAGCAACCCACTCTTGTAGAAGTCTCGATTCGAGCATGGGATATAAAATATTTCTTGGCAGAGAACTTTTACCCCTTATTAAGCCTATCTAGGGCAAAAAGCATTTTACCTAAATATACCATATTAGAAACTTATTTACTCTCACTAAAGAGGTTTTAACTTAATTACAATTTGGTATACAATTTACCAATTATATACAAAATAATGTAGTCTCTAATCTTCCTTATTTTCTCTCTACCTCTTTCTCTTTCTCATGCTTGAAATTCTATCTTCGTTCTAGTATTTGCCGCTCTAATTCTCTACATGATCATTGGTGCAATACTACTTCACTTGTTATATCCGTATATTATTTCATATGCTGATTAACCCTCATTATGTTTTCTCTTTCTTTTTGTTTTCTTGTTTTTGTTTTTGTTTTTTATGTTAAACAATAAATACCAATGATCACTTCTGAAAGAGGGAAGATTCTTAATTTCTTTTAGTTTTTTGGAATTAATAAACTAAGAGTGTTAATTAGAAGCGAGCAAATTGAATTGAAAATCTGTTAATCCATTAAAAACTCTATTGATAGCCATTAAAAATTTTCGAAGTTTTAAATTCAAAAATCGAGTTTTACGAAATTATTATTTGTTTGGATTGGGTGTTGTTGCAAATGATTGAGAATATTTTTTGGAGTTTTTATCTCAATTCGAGTTGATTTTAGTTAGAATTTCAGATTAAAACTCGAAGACGACATAAATAAGTTGTATATATTCAGGTGTACAAATGACATGCAAAATATATAAGACTAACATAATTGCATAAAAGTTGTATATAAATTATAGCTTTTTAACTTAATTCTACATAAAAAAAATTGTATACAAATTGTATATAAGTCCCATGTAAATTGTAGTTTTTGTCCGGATTCTATATGACAAAAAATTGTATTCAAATTGTATATAAATTGTAGCTTTTAACCAGATTTGTATATATTATGTAAAAACAATTTAGTTACAACAATGACCTAGTGAAATTACACTAGTGGGGTCTGGGAGGATAGTGTGTACGCAGATCTTACCCCTACCCCGAGGGGTAGAGAGGTTGTTTCCGAAAGACCCTCGGCTCAAGAAGACGAAAAGAGGCAATATATCAGTACCATCAATAGAAACCATAAAACAAAGAATAACATCACCAGAACCAGAAAATAGATGAAAAGCAAAACAATAACCAGTAAATAAAACCCGACACTAAGAGGAACGAAAGAGTAGAGTGAACTCAATATTAACTACTAACAGTCTAAGACCAAATCCTAACAGACTAGCCTCACTCTAGCCTCACCCTAGTGCA